ATTAAACTGAGGAATAAAATAGGAAATATCTTTATTTTACCAGATTTCCAACTGCAAAGCACTAGTGTCCCATGCTTCTCAATAAATATCAGAAAAGTAAGAACCATAAGAAGTAAAAAGTTGAATGCCATGATCCTTGCCCTGAAACTCTACAATCCAGTTTGAGATATAAATCTTATAAATAAATCATTTTAACTGCAGAAATATGATTCTATAATGATATAATTATACAAGTTGGTAAAAATAAGAGACTTAATAATGAGCCTTGCTAAGGGGCCATAAAATAAACCACTTGAAGACAATATATATATAATAATCTTGCTTTTGATCCTGGGACAACTTTTCAAGTTGCCAGGTTTTAGGAAAACTCACTTTTCAATTAAGTCTCAGAATTTATTTGTAGTCAAATAAGGATGTAACACCTACCCATCTGTTTCCTTTACACGTTTCCCTTGATTCCAATTTTACCACAAATCTACGTAATTTATAGGAAGTGAATTGAACTTCTTTTCTTAGAAACAGAAAGTTACGAATTTCAAGGGTATTTTTTAGGGGTACTGGAAGTTCACAATTTCATTCAAGTCTAAAAAAAAAAAGTATTTAAGGCCATAGTTTGTAACTGTAATTATGACTTATTATAGTAAGTTATAGTTTTTAATGCTACTGTAAGAAAATCCTAATACAAAATACAGATCAAACTAGCAAATAACTGAATTAATCTAAAGGATGATAAAATGAGAATGTTAATGAGTATAAATGTAGACTTCAGTGTACCTTAAAATCCAGTGAAGCAAAATAGTTCTCTTTTTTCTGAAATGTCTGTGTTTGTACGAGTACAAACTGGGCAGATGACATTGGTGATATCTTGGCAGGAAGTCTAGTTGGAGAAAACAAAGTTGTTTATATGGTTTGTATTGCATTGATTTATCTTCTAGTATCAGTTAACCACGAAACAGTGATCATAATTTACGTCTGCATCCTCAAGACTTTTCATCTTAATCACAGGAGAATGATGGAAATTCAAGGAGCAATGGTATGTAGGCTGCTGAGATACTGTGAGGATGACCACATGGGCCTTTCCATGGGTTTTAGGCAGACCTACCTGATTGACCATATCAGCCTTCACATCAGTCTGACTATTCAAAAGTTAAAAATTGAGCTGAGACCTGAGTGGCGATTGTGTTTTAGTTTGGGAATACATTAATATTACTATTGTTGTTATTACTATTAAATACCTCATAGTTGGAAGACACCAAGATATTATTTCTTTAGGGGGAAGGTAATCTTGGCTTTTCTACTATCTTTTTCTGGATAAATTTTAAAATAATTTTTCCAATATGGTGAAGGTTATTATTGACCTACTGCTATATTTTATATCCTATTTTTTTCCCCAAACCTGAAAGATACTTTGTGCCCTTTGGCCAAGGTGGGTATCTTGGGTCTCAGTCACTCCAGGACCGCACTGCCCAAGTCACACAGGCTTCTGTATTACGTCTTTGGATGAGATGTGTGAAAATCTATTTAAACAAAAGAAGTTCATTAAAAAATCCCTCAATTTCCTTCTTAATGGACTTAGAAGAATTCGATACAATTGATCTTTTCTTTTGCTTTATTAAACGTTCTTCCTTTGGCTGCAAAAGAAGTCATATACTACTATCATTAATATCAAAATCACCATCTTCACTTCCTCTAGCCCTTCCACTGATTCCCCCACTATCAATTTTCTCATTTGAAACATGTATAAAGGTCATTCTTTGTCTCGTATTTAATTTCTTGGACGTTTTATTTAAATTAGTCATATTTACAGCTATAATATGTAGTTTTCTATGTGGTCTGAAATGACAGTGGAATGTTATTTTCATGAGTCTGCGTTGATACTCCATGCTCACTGGTGAGATCTCTTTTGTGAATTTCCTCCCATGTTTATATACTTATCCATTGCCAGAATTATGTATTCATCTACTAGGATACCTCTAATTTTTATTCCTTTTTAAATGATAAATAAATGAGACAAAAATCTCAAATTCTAGGATATTGAATAAATTAAAACTAGATGTAGATTTGTTTTCTTTTTTCACTGCTCCTTTGATTTCAATCCAAAAGAATACAAAACATTCAGATATTATCTGGGCTGGAACACATTGCACTCTGTTTTCTTAGTAGAATATGAAACAGGAAGTCAGGGTCATCTAGGAGGACTTCTCAGTAAAAAAAAGAAAACATCACATGTTTTCATTTGTTGCAATTTTTGAAATGAAACTTTTCAAGAAAAGTTTACACAGATCTTAGTGTGACTTACTTTGGCTCAATACCTAACACATAATTCATTAATTCCATTTTTAACTCCTTAAAGAAGGAAAGAAAATGTATTAATTTTACAGTAATGTTAGAGTCTTCAGACTTTTTGAAAGGTATTTAGCCAAGGGTCTCCAAAACAGAGACATTAAGAGTATTTCAATTTAAGGTTTTGTAAGTTATTTTGTAAGTTTTTTTGGTAAGCTTTTTTTTTTGTAAGTAGCATTTTGAAGAGGACACATGTTTATAAAGCAATAAAATGTGTTTATTTGTGGCATCTATATTTTTCAAATAATAGAATTTGAAAAGAGAAACTGTATTATTCATTTCAGGAGAGCTGACTTTAGTACAATGGAATTACTAAATAAATAGCATAGATAATCATCATTTTCAGCCACAAACTTGGAATGTATATTGTTATCTCATGAAGTATTCAAAAATGCTAAAAAATCCTAAATCTAAGTTACTTGAATTTATCTCATTTTAACAATTTAAAATTTTTAGTGGCGAAGCTAGTCCTGAAAGCTAAATTTTAAATGAATGATCCATGGTCCCCGCATAATAGACTTGGAGAATGAAGGCAGACTTTCATAGGTAGTATGTGGCGGTTCTGAGCATAGTGACCAGATCAGTGTAGATGATCACTAAATAAATATTTAATAAACTTAGCTAGACTGACTGTTTTTGCCTGTCTCAGGAAAAGATGATGATTAATTTAATAGATGCCATGAGATCAGTGAATCAAAACACACCACTTGAAGATGTAGTGTTTCAAATTACTGCCCGGTAGTTAATGAAATCAGCAGGCTGATTCCTGACACAATGCTGTTTTCAGCCTTCTTTTTCTACATCCCAGCGAGGACCCTCCCTGGCGGACCTCAGTTCTGCTTGTGAACTGGTGCGCTCTAGTGGTTGTGTGAGGACTTGAAGAGCCTGCTACCACGCGATCGTGAGACAGACACATCTATGTGCACAATGATGTGAAGGCTCTCACGCTGTCCTCCCTGAAAACATCTTCCTTTGCTGAAGTGTTCACCAAAGCCTACCTTCTGATCCATTCATGAGCCAAACACTTATTAGATACAAGCTCGTGCACCAGTGGCTGATGGGTGTTGAGAATACAACCAAGTTACAGATTCTTTTCTCCTTCACGTGTTTTGTAGATCATTATGGTATGCTTGAAAAAGTCGAGATTTGCTCATCATGAACTATCACTGACCTTTGGTATTTCCTTTCTTAATTACTATTAGTCTTAAGCTGTTGTACTTCCAAGATCTGGAACTTTCTAGATATTGAATGAACATTGAGTGAATGAAAGAACACCTGTGTAGCAGAGGTTGGTTTTGGGAAAACAGTCTTCCATCTTCAAAAGAGAGCTACCTACTCTATCCATGAAGAGTTTATTGACCGAGAAAAAAAGGCTTGGATATATGAGCAGAAACAAAGAGCAGAGGACTTTGCAACTCATTTTCTAAACTTTGGTCTTTTCTACTTTGTGTGAGTATTCAATCACATGTTTTTAATATAATTTATAGGTAATTTTCTGTTTTATATGATGTGAAGTCTTTCAAAGATTATATCATCCATCACATTTTGTTATATGGCATCCACTGTTTCTGGACACATGCAAATACTCGAGTGTCCTTTTTGGTCATTGTTGCCACAGACAGAAAAAAAGCTTAATTTGAGCAGGTATTTGATATTGTAATAGAGTAAACGATAGTGTATTGTGCACTTAGATTTTTGTTGAGGACAGACTTTCTGTTGAGTGTTCTTCCTCAGCTTAAAAAAAGCAGAAGGAGGCCAGGGCTGGCTGGGCTCCAACCAGGCGGCCTGCTGTATTTGGTTCTCTTTCCTTGGTCTTCTCCCTCACCAGTGAAGTTTCATGGCTAAAACCTTTGGGTTCCTACTCTAGCCTTGCTACAATTGCCAGAGATTTGGCATGTACTTGCCCAAATTTTAAACTCCTCTATCTCAACTTGTAAAATTATTATTTCCAAAACTGTATTAATTTCTTAAACTTGGGCTCCAGAGAACTTTTCAGAGTAATAGAAAAGTTCCAAAATTGAATTAGGTGACTGTTGCACACATCTATATATCTATTTCAAATCATCCAATCACATATTGACCAGGGGTGAATTTCACTCTATGTAAATTTGACTTCACTAAACTAAGAGAAAAAAAAATCTCGAATTTCTGCCATAGCACATGAACATTGGACAACCTCTTCAAATAGCAGGAAAAGTAATTGGAAAATATGATTTCTTTCCTAAATTCTTCCTGAAAAAATTTTTTCTGCATCGGATGAGTCTTTGGAATGCCTCAAAAATTACCAGTATTTTTTCTTTAAAGTATATTATCAGATCATTAGTATAACTTTTGATCAGTGTTATTTTGAGATCAAGAAATAATTTAACTGTTAGGTAATTGCAAGTTATTCTATTAAATTAGGTACCAATATATTAGGGAGAATAATTGAAAATTTACATAATGCAAATGTATTAGCTATGTTTCAGTTAACTCAACTCTAAAAGGGATACAGTTTTCATTTTCCTGACTTTACAGGTTTCTCAGGAGGAAGTTGTGATAGACCCAAATATGCTATCAAGTTCAATATGTGGTGGACAGTTGAGAAAATATGTGTCATCTTTCTCATGGTAAACAAACAGACATTTCCTTTGAGGTTTTCACCAGTGGATGAAACCGTGAATCTTTGTAGGCACCCTGGGTGGACCATTTGAGAACAAGTCTCTGAGTAACACAGAGTTACTATTCTTTTCTTATTTTATATTAAAAACAAAACAAAACACACACACACACACACACACACACACTTGAAAATGCAAGGTGAAGAAAGATACATGACATTGAATGTGGAGCTGAAGAAAAGGAATTCTATCCAAACATCCCAACTTAAATGTCAAGGTATGGAATCACTGCAGATTAATATGGGTATGGATTTCATATGAGAACTAATGTGGATAATGGTTTCCAATATTCTGTCATTTTCTGTTCTTGGACTGTCTCATTTCTGTGGTACTTCCTTCTCTCTGTCTAAGCTTCTGTCCTCTCTCTGTCTCTGACTCTCTCATTTATCAATGTGGGAATTTCATCAAAGTTACTTGCTTTCAAAGTAATATTTTATCTCATATCATTAAGGATATACTCATGAAATATACATATTTCATTAAAATTAATAATTAAAATATAAATATTTGGTACCAGCCAGCTACTTCCTTACCATTTGTAAAATACGGTATTTTCCAATATCAATTTTTAATTCAGCTTGCAAAAGTTTTAAAATATGTTTTTTCATCAGATGTAACTTTTTTGGGAGGAAACTAGAGATATTAACCTGAAGGGCCCCAAAATGTAGTGGCTCCTCTGTAAAAACGTTTTTCACACTCAGTTTGTAGATGTTACTTGGAAAACTAAATGTGTTTTTTGGTACAGAAAAAGAGCTCAGAGAGCTGCAAATAATAAATTTGCAACTCCTAATTATTTAAGTGGCATATGCCACTTCATCATTATTTACTAATGTATTTTGCTAATATTTAGTAAAGCTTGGTGATATTTAGTAAAATTTGGTGTAAGACATATTACATTTGAATTGAATCGATCATTTAAGTCTTGTCACTGTACACAGTGTTTTACTTTACTTTACTTTATTTGTATCTCTTTTCTTATATCTTGGTACTAATGATAAGAAGAAATCACATTTTTGCCCTGTATTCAGAAAGTTTCAGAATCACTGTAGAAATAGTGTCACTAATAATATACTTGCTTATAGCAGATTACAGTGGTTTTTGGAGGGTTTTTTTTGTCCTTAGTATATATAACATTGGGCTTCCACAGTTTTAAATTTACTTCACATAATTCCTCCCTTTACAATTAAGTCACTAACAATATGCAGAGTCCTTTATTTTATATTTCATTTTATTTTTAGAGATCGCTTTTTCATTCTGACAGATTTTAAAAATTATGTATAAGCATACATATTATATAATTATAATTATACATAATTCATAGAATATAATTATAATTATGTAAAGCATTTTTACATATTTTTAAACTCAAACCTGTATAGCAAGGTAGAGACCTCCCACTCCCATAATTTCAACTCCCTGTGATATTTGCAGATGTTGGCCACTGTATATAAAAATAGATTCTAAAAAGTTTCTTTTGTAGAGCACAGGGAACTATGATCAATATCTTGTAATAACTTTTAATGGAGAAAAATGTGACAACAGATATATGTGTGTATATGAATGACTGGGACATTGTGCTGTACACCAGAAATAGACACATTATAATTGACTGTACTTCATTTTAAAAAATTAAAAAAACATAATTCCAACTCCTATCCTGTCCCTTTCACCCTGTCCTCTTCCTCCTTCCCTACAGAAAATCGTTACACGTGCACACGCACATATGTACAAACACACACAGCTACATCCCCTGATCCTTCATTTAGCTGAATGTTTCTTCATTAATTGGAGGTACCATGGTTTATTCAACTACCCCCCATCCCTCGTTGATGGACATTTATACTATCTTCATTCTTTCCCTAGTATATTCCTATTTTAAATAGTGTAATACTTTGCACTTATGTCTTTTATATTTTGCCAAGTTGTCACTAAGACAGATTCCTCAAAGAGACATTGCTGGATGACAATGTAAATGACTATATAAATTTGCTAGCTTTTTCCAACTATCTCCCCATAGGATTGTGCCATTTTGTATTTCCACCTTTCTCAGTGTTTACTTGACTCTTCTCATTTGTTTGCTCTCCCAAATAATTGTATAATGAATTTTGCCAATTCGTGCACTATAATCAACAAAAACAAACTGAGATGCAGTTTTATAGAATACTAAATTACTTCTTAATTTATCAATTAACTTAAGGAAAATTTATCTCTGACACTTAGCCTTCAATCCAAGACATGGCTGAATATCCATCAGTTCGAGTCTACATTCATGGTGCTGTTTTCTATTTTTTTGTTCGTTCAGTTCTCTTCATAGCAATTTGGAGCACTTCTTACTAAGTTTATTTCCAGTTTTGTCTTTTTTAAAAAAGTTTGTTAGCTGTCGACAAGCAATGCCTTCCCTTCAGTTATATTTTTAAAAGGTTATTGGATATATAAAGGCAATTGATTTTAGTATATTAATTTTGTGACTGTAGCTAATAAATTTTAAGCTTATTTTGGGGAATATAATGCATTTTTTCAATCGACTCTTAGTTTTGCGATACACATACTTTATTACCTTCAAATAATTGTGTCTATTTTTCTGTTTTCCCCTGTATTTTGGTTATTTTGTCTGATTGCATTGAATAATACCTCCCCAAAATATTTATTAGTAATGGAGATTTGGGATCTTTCTTCTTCCACCTTTATTGAGATATACTTGATATATAAATATATATACACATATATATCTGCATAAATTTAAGGTGTACAATATGATGATTTGATATGCTTATATACTGCAAAATGATTACCACTGTAGGGTTAGTCAACAAATCCATCAACTTACATAATTAGCATTTCTTTTTTGCTGTAAGAACAACTAAGATCTTCTCTCTTAGCAACTTTCGAATATATAATACAGCAATGTTAAATATAGTCATCTACTGTACAGTAGATCCTTAGACATTATTCATCTTGAACTGAAAGTTTGTACTCTTGAACTAACATTTCCCCATTTGCCCCACTCTAGGCAGCCAGCCTTCTACTCTCCAGTTCTGTAAGTTCAGCTTTTTTCAGATTCCACATATGAGTGATATCAGACAGTGTGTGTATTTCTCTGTCTGACTTACTTCACTTAGCACACTGCCTTCAGGTCCCATCCACGTTGCCCCAAATAGCAGAATTTCCTTTTCACTCATTGCTGAATAATACTTCATGGTATATGTACATACCCCACCTTGTTTTATCCATTCATTTATAGGTGGACATGTGGATTGCTTCCCTATCTTGGCTACTGGGAATAATGCTACAGTGAACACAAGAGTGCAAACAACTCTTCAAGATACTGATTTCAGTTCATTTGAATACACTCACACGTGGGATTGCTGTGTCACATGGTAGTTTTATTTTTACTTTTTTGAGGAACTTTCATATTGTTTCCCATAGTGGCTTCACACTTTAACACTTTCACCAACAGTGTGCAAGTGTCCCCTTGCTGGGAAACAAGCTGCTGGAAAACAAGCCGCACCTAAATTTCCATGAGCTTAAAATATTATATTCACACTTACTTGCTTAAAATGCACATACTTGCTTTGTTTTAATGTTTTACGCAGTAGATGACCTATAACACGTATTATGCTAAAGAAAGTTTGTGGTGAGCAATCCTGAGACTGACCATAAAGACAAGAAGGAGGGCAAATATTTCCTTAGGGTAAAACAATGGACCTTCCTGGAAAGCCAGATCATCCATTAACAGAACTTTGTTCTGGCCTGAAAGCATGTGGTTAAGCCCAGGGGAAATATTTGTTATCTCGAGATGTCCCGGAGGCGCTAACAGGATAGACTTAGAAATTTTGCATATTGCAAACACCCAAGGAGGGTGATTGTTCCTGGAAGGGTAGGTCTGAAATTAATCAGTTCATCAGCAAGCAGAACTTAGTGCTTATCATATGGAATATCTAAAGCCCCACCTCTTTGATCGCATTTTTTTCTGAGCTGTGTATACATCCCACCCTAATAAATATGATGTCGACCAGGCTTTTGGTGCTCTAGATCCACAAGAACTTGAGTTCCCTGGTTCCATCTTTGCTCTTTACTTTGTCTCTTTGTTTCTTAAGTCTTGCGTCGCAGTCCTCAGACACGGCCCTGAGCTCTGCTGGATGCAGCATCCCCTTCCTTCACATCCTCACCTACACTTGTTATCTCTTGTCTTCCATAACAGCCATGCCACATGTGAGGTGATATCTCATTATGGTTTTGTTTACATTTCCTTGATGATCACGTTCTTGGCCATTTGTATGGCTTTAGAAAACTGTCTACTCAGATCCTCTGCCCATTTTTTTAATAGAATTTTTTGAGTTGTAGAGTCCCTTATATATTTTGAGTCTTAACCCTTTATCAGATAGATGATTGTCAAATATTTTTTCTTGGGGGATTTTTTAAATTAATAATTCAATCTTAGTTATTATTATGTAGTGAACTTTTTTTGTTGCAGATTTTGTCTGATGTAAGTTTAGCTACTTCTGCTTTCTTTTAGTTTCCATTTGCATTGAATGTATTTTTTCTATCCCTTCTCTGGGTGCCTATGTGTGTCCTTAAAGCTAAAGTCTCTTGTAGGCAACATGTAGTTGGGTCTTTTTTTTGTTTTAATCCATCCAGCCATTCTGGGCCTTTGAATTGGAGTATTTAATCCATTTACACTTAGAGTGATTCTTGATATGTAAGGACTTACTAATGCTAGCTTACTAACTGTTTTCCGCTGTTTTGTAGTTCCTAGTTCCCTTGTTCCTTTCTTCCTCTCTTGCTGCCTTTGTGAATTGATTTCATAGTGGTATGCTTTGATTATCTTTTCTTTTAATGTGTGCGCTTATTGTAGGTTTTGCTTTGGGGTTGCCATTGTACTTATTTTTATAAAAAATATAAATATATATTTTATATATTGTGAATAAATGTATGAATTACTATACTTTTAATTATACTTATTTTTAATACTTTTTTCCTTTAACCTTTATAGTATAGTTAATTTTTTCCAAACATTTGTGGAAAAAGCTTATCATGTTTCTCTATTAAATATGATATTAGTTTCATTAGGCAAAGAACTGTTGTATTGAACACGTATCCATTAATTCCTGCTTTATCTTTTAGCATACGTTTGTTGGATTTTATCATATGTTTTTTATGTCTGTTGAGAAGATAATACATTTTCCCTTAACTCTATTAATATATAATATTAATGGATTTCTTACTATTTAAAAACTCTTGTAATCCCAGAACAAACCCAACATGCTCATGGTATGTTTTAGCTACTACTAGTATATTTAAGACTTTTGTATGAACACTCATAAGAGTGATTGGGTTTTTTGGTTTGTTTTTTAAATTATTTTAATTTTTTGATGGAAAAAGACTTCTGTTTTAACCTTGTAAGTTAAATTATACCACTTCTCTACAGGATAAAACATAGCGTAATGAAAATGTTATTTTCTCCATAATTTTGAGTCTTAATGTGCCTCAAATTCATACTGTAAAGGTTATTCCATGATACCTAGGAGAAATAATTGAGTCTGAGTTGAATTTGAACAAGCTTCCATGTCCTTTATTCTAACGTTTTCTGATAATTATTTGTTTGATTTTTAAAATAAATGATGGCATTTTATTACATATGTTGAAATTTTGGAATTTATTGGTTATTATATTATTCAAAAGGAATATGGGAAATGCAGGATATTCATTAACTGAATTCTGACAAATCTTATTTTACTATCTTTGTCATGAGACAAAGAGAAGAGCTGTGTACTGTTTCTCTGAATTACTGTTCTGTATGGTTTATTATGCCCTTTCTTGATAGGGTTTGGCAACTTCAAGGGTAGTTTTTCTTCTCTCACTATTCTGATCATCCAGAATATTACCATTACTAATAAAATAAATATGTATTTTTCTATTTACGTAATTTTATATTTTTATTGCCTGATATCCTTTGAAATTGAAAACCATTATCGCATATAATCCTATTATTACAATTGCTATCACTTCACAGGAATGTACTTTTCTAAGCTAATTCATGTGATTAATCTCTCAGATTGTTCCGTGGTGTTGCACCGGTACAAAATCTTCCTGGGGCTATCTGGAGCGGTAAATGGTATTCTGGCTTTGACTCTGATCTCCCTGACTCTGTTAGGTAAGTTATAAGACCTTAAACAAAAACTTTGAAAAACTTCTGCTTTTTTCTTGACTTTTCTTTCATATTCATTCATTCTTCATTATATTAAAAAGATAAAATAAAGAGCTACTATATATAAAGCAATATATGATATCCCACAATAACATATTTAATATGCAGTCAAATCAGATAACTATCTCCTCATGTGGTATCTGATCTTCTAGGAGAAAAATATGTGTGTGTTTGTAATATATTTGCAAATCATATTTTTAGGTTTCTTAGCAGTTTGTGGATAGAATTCCATTATTTTTTTCTCAAAGAATTTATACATTTTACCTAAGATTGTATTTAGTTTACTCCTGTTTTTGTCCAAATATTTACTGAGCAACTACTACAAACATTACAAGTCTTTCAAATTTAAAGTAAAGGAATAGTGATGGTGAGAAATCCATATTTTCGTGGAAGAAACTGATTTTAAGTAAATAATTAAGGTAGAATGGACTGAATACAACATTACAGGTTTCAGCAAAATATTAAGTAAGCTTGAAAAGAGAGTGCATAGCCCTGCAACAGGAATTTTTCTGTATTTGCTTCTGCATTACTTGCTCTGAGGACAGTGGCTTGCACAGAATAGATCCTCAGCAAACACATGTTCTACCAATGAATTAATTGTGCAATATTCTAATTTAAACAAAAAAAAAGATAAGAAAATTTCTAGTTATCCCTCCAGTTATTTCCTGTTCCAATCATTAGCATCATTGCAAATAATCTGTATCTGAGACATTGCACAAAGACATTTACCCAACCTTAAAATAATCCTGTTTTCAAGTTTCTCAGGAAGTGTTGCTAAGGTGCCAAAAAGGAAATAATTCCAATTTCACCCAGCACGATGACATCAGAAACCTGAAAGCGAATAGTGACACAAGAGGAAATATAAGTAATAAGGATGCAGGCCACTGTGTTTCAGGAGCTACAAACCGTAAAGGTATCACTCAAGGCTTTGGTCTGTACCACTTTTCATCTTTTGGACTTTCTAAGTTTGAAAAATCCTGTTGAATAGGTATTCAGGAGAGTAAACCAACACAGATTTGGTATGAATCTACTTTTTACTCAAAATTTGATTCCTATAGTTTAATTTTTTTGCAGTAGGAGGAGAGGTGTAAACAACATAACAAAGAAGTTCTATAAGAGTTTAAAATCATGTTGAGACATGTAAATATGGAAAGTTAATTGTGATTATAAGGCAGCATTTAAATGACTATTTTTGTCTCTTATTTATCCTTTCTTGAAATACTAAATGAGTAAAAGTAATTATATCTAACAAATTATCTACTACGATTTTAAGTGTAGAAATTCCAATCGTACAAATTTTGGAAAACTTTCTACTTGCAACTTTTTAGTTTGACTTTTGAACACTTGACTCTTTGAACCTTCAACATTTATTTGATAATATGATATGTGTGGAAGGTACAGATTAATTTATTTTATAATTATTTATCAAAGGATTTTTCTCTAATCCTCTAGTTTGCTTTGTTCCCTTATCCCATATGGAAATTTCATTTATATTATGATTTACTTATTGACATTCTTTCCTTTTGGTTTATGTGTCAGTTTTATATGTACAAGTCCTAATCCAATTGAAATATTGTAATTTTATCATATATTTTACACTCTGATCAGCTAATTTTTCATTAAGGTGTGTATCATAATGGAACCTTTTCAGAGGTAAGAAAGCTTTGATAGGTAAACATAGAATCATATTGACACCATTAAGCATTCATTAAAGTCAAAATATTGTATAACTGAACTATGAGATTTTAATTTTCTATAAATATTTTTCTCCTTCATTTGAGGTAATACTAGCAAAAATAAAGCTAATCATTTAAAATTAAGCAATTCAATGGTATTAAAACATTCAAATTTATTTATCTAGTTCCAAAACATTTTCATCAGCTAAAAAAGAAACCCTATATGCAATAAGCAATTACTCCCCATTCTCTCTCTCCCTAGCTCCCAATAATGACTAATCTGCTTTTGTCTGTATGGATTTGCCTATTCTGGATTTTTATATAATGGAATCATACAATATTCTACCTTTTGTGTCTTTCTTCTTTCATTTAGCAGAGTGTTTCTGAAGTTCATCCATGTTGTATCATGTATCGGCACTTTATTCCTTTTTAAACTGAATAATATTTTCTTGTATGTATACACCACAATTAGTTAGTATAAGGATAGAAATACTAACCAAAGTTATCTAGATTCAAAGAAATCCCTATCAAAATTCCAATGGTCTTTTTTGTGGAAATGAACACCTGAAGAGCAAAATAATCTTGAAAAAGAATAATGAATTTGAAAGACTCACATTTTCCAATGTCAAAACTTACTACAAATCTACAGTAATAAAACCAGTGTCGTACTGGACTTAGGCTAGACAAAAGGTCAATGGAATAGAATTGAAGATTCAGAATTAAGCCCATACATCTATGATCAAATGATTTTTCACAAGGGTGCCACAACCATTTAATGTGAAATGAACAGTCTTTTCAATAAGTGGGGCTAGGTCGACTGGACATTCACACGCAGAGAATGAATCTGGACACCTAACTCATACAATATCAAAAAATCAATTCAAAATGGATCAAAGACCTAAATGTAAGAGCTAAACTATGCAATTTTTACAAGGAAAAAATAAATGTAAATCTTTGTAACTTTCAATTGGGCAGTGATTTCAAATATGAGATCAAAAACACAGGTGACAAAAGAAAAAAATAGATAAAGTGGATACCATCAAAAGTAAAGACATTTGTTCACTAAAGGACATTTAAAGAAATTGAAAAGACAGCAGATTTAACGGGAAAAATACTTGTGAATCACGTATCAAATGGGTGTCTACTATCCAGTATATTGAAATAACTCTTATATCTCCAGAAAAAGACAAACAACTCAGTTAAAAAAATTGGAATAAACTACTGATACATGCTTCAACTGAATGAACCTTGAAAACATGCTCACTGAAAAAGCCGTCACAGAAAGCTAAACATGATACAATCCCACATATATAAAACATCCATTATTGTCAAATCAGAAAGTCATTGTCATATCCATCACAGTCAAATACAGAAAGCAGATTAGTGATTGCCAAGATTCAGGGTTGGCAGAATGGGTACTGCTCATTATTTATGGGGCTTCATTTGGGGTGCTAAAAATATTTTGGAGTGAGATAGTAGTCAGATTTGCACACCTTGTGGATGCCCTAAAACCCATAGCATTTGTACTTGAAAGTAGTTAACATGGTGAATTTTGTATCACATTTTTTATCTCAATAAAAAAAAGAAAGGAGATTGTCATGGCCACAAGTCTGACTTTGGTATGTGCTTTTATTTTAAATTATATCATATTTTCCCCTCATTCTTATTCTGAAAGTCTCAGATATTTTCAATTTGAGAAGACCTCAACTTAAATTTAAGAAAGTCAAAAGACTTGATGAACTGCAATTATACAGGTTGGAAAAAAAACTATTATTTATCTCAACATTACTTAATATTAAAAGGGAGATATTAGAGAATGATTTAAACACATGAAACAATAAGAGGGATTCTGTAACTTCATACGGATAAATTCTAAGCAAGTGACATAGATAATATTTTATCTAATCTCTCAAATAGCATTAATGCAATATATATCATAATTGGTTCATGTTATTTTAGTAATCAGATTATGATGAGAAAAAAGTCCTTTTACATCAAGGTTTTACTAATTTAATTTCCTTAATTCCCATGAATTATCGTTTGTATTTTGGACACCTTGTGAGTCTGAACACGTTGTTATGAGTGATTTTATCATTGATCCACTCTTTTTCCTGCAACATGTAAGTATTCTCACTGTTAATTTTATAGCAATGTGCCCTTCAGAATGGCTCAAATATCAAGAAAAGTGTTATTGGTTCTCTAATGAGATGAAAAGTTGGAATGACAGTTATGGATACTGTTTGGGAAGAAAATCTCACCTACTAATTATTCAGGACCAACTTGAAATGGTAAGTGGTTGAGTCTCATGGTTATGCCATTAGCCTCTTTACAGTTAAAAATAGCTTATCTTCCCACCATTTCATTAAAGTAAATTCATTAAATTCATTTAATTTCTTCCCACCTTTTCATTACATTTTCTTTTAATCTTGATTACTGAGTTTTTGGTGTCCTTTGAAATTTTGTGCACACAGCCAGTGCCCCACTTAAAACACGCTAATTCTGGTCTGAAGATTTGCATTCAATTTGCAAGAAGTGTACTTATATAATATATAATGTATGTGTGAACAAGATATGAATTGATCAGTATAAGAATCCTTATGCAAGAGTGTTAGTTGTCTAATAAAATTCTAAAATCTTACTTAGTGTATGTAAATTGCTAAAATATTCTGTTCATTTAGTTACTCATCACCCACTTTTTAGGCTTTTATACAGAAAACTCTAAAACAGTCAAACTACGTGTGGATTGGACTTAACTTTACCTCCCTGAAGAAGACGTGGACCTGGGTGGATGATTCTCCATTAGATCCAAAGATGTGAGTCCTTCCAGGAAGGCAATCTGATTTTATTGTCTATCATGGAACTTATCTTCTTAATATAAGTCCACCAAAATCAACTCAGAAATAGTTCTTGGGACTAAAGAATTTCAAAGGATGAAAATTAATTTAATGTTCGCTGGAGTAACGATGGATATTTTGGTTTGGTTTTCCAAGCAAAAGAATTTGAAAACCATAATGGTTGTGCACTTATTGTTTAAAAACTACACACAATTTCTATGAAAAGGTGGATTGAACCAATGTAGTTTTCTGTTTTCAAAGTTCTCAATGCTTTTTAAAAATAATCTTTAGTAATTTAAAAAATGTGTACAATTGTTTGTATTGTGCAATTATAATAATGTTAAAAAACAAACAAGAAATACAAGACAGAACAAAATTATCCAAAATTCTCTCAACAGTTGCATGAGATTATTGAGATTTTTAAAATTTTATGAATGTTTGTGTGTGCTCGTGTTAATTTTATAATCAAATAGTTAATTAGAAATACAAATATGTTCACTAGTAAACTCAAATCTTATCTCTATGTTGATAGGTAGAATAATGGTCCCCCCAAAATGTCCATGGCCTAATCCCCAGATCCTGTGAATACATCACCTTACATGCAAAGAGATTTCACAAATGTGATTAAATTAATAATATTGGGATAGAAGTATTATGCTGGATTATTTTGGTGGATTCAGTGTAATCACAAGAGTCCTTATAAGAGGGAGTGAGTAGGGGCAGGGTCAGAGGAGATATAAAGATACACACAGAAGTCCAAGTCATATGACTGGTATCCAGGGAGCACAGGCAGCCTTGAGCAGCTGCAAAAGGGGATGAGCAAATTTCCCCCGAGTGCCTGCAGAAGGCAGCTCAGCAGACATTTGATTCTAATCCTTTGAGACCAGTTTTGGACTTCTGATACCTAGCACTGTGAGGTAACAAATTTGGGTTGTTTTAAGCCACTGGATTTGTGGTAATTTATTACAGCAGTGATAAGAAACTTATTCACTATGGTAACCAACTTACTGTACACTGTCCTGTTATTGTCCCTTCAGCCTTATTTCATCATTAAATATTGCTTACTTTCTATCTCACTGCCCTAAATTCACCAATCCAAGGAGGTCAATTAAGGACGTTATTTGGAATGGAGAACAGAATCGCGGACGTGCGTTACCTGAGGGGAGAGCTGTATCACTGAGCGCTACCCGATCAGCTACCTAGAAGGATCCTAACCTACGTTTTCTTCTCGTGCCAAATTTACTCAGCTCTGCCTTTAGAATTGAGTTTTCACTCTAGACCGTGCCTAGGGATTTTTGTTCAAACATATTCAAATCAAAATTCGAATCTAGAAGTGGGCACAGTGTATTTTTCAATACGAAAATTCAGTCCTTTCTTTTCTACTGTTAATCTAGACGCTTTGATGATCATCTGTACCTCTTCCATAATACTTCCTTGAACTTATTCCTCAATTTAAATCAATTCCTAACAGAATAAATCACTAATACTACAGTATTTTATAGATAACTCTATTATTGTATTTGACATGTTGCTTTATGAGTAAGTCATTCAATAAATGTACAATTTATTTCGGGCTTACCTGGGTCAGTTTGTGTATTGCGTTCTTTACAAACATCAATTCATTTAACTTCTATAACAATAACGTGAGGTAAATATTATCTCTATTGTACAATTAGCTGTGAGAAACCAGGAAGGTTAAGTGAGCTGTCTATGTGACTTAATCTCAGTTTGTTTGTTTGGGGGGGTGGGAAGGTAATTTAGGTTTATTTATTATTTAAGGGAGGTACTGGAGATTGAACCCAGGACCTCGTGCATGCTAAGCGTGTGCTCTACCACGGAGCTATGCCTTCCTGCCTTAATCTCAGTTTTTAATCTAATGGATGACATGGAACAATGGAAAGGAGGATAGGACTATGGGCACACATTTATTCTGAACTCTGTCATTTGCAAACACACTCTCCGGGAACTCTCTGCCAATCATAGACAGTAATACTAAATTTCAGAGACAGTGAAATGTTCAGTGAGTCAAGGTATTAAAACATACCTTGAATACCTGAATTATCTTTTAACTAAGGGAAAGTGTCAACTGAAAACACAAATGGATATTCTCAGCGACAACGATGAACAATGTGTTCCTCTTCTCTTCTGCAGATTCTTTATAAAAGGACCAGCTGAGGAGAACAGCTGTGCTGCCCTCAAGGAAAACAGAATTTATTCTGAAACCTGCAGCAGTGTCTTCAAATGGATCTGCCAGTATTAAAGTTTTAAAAGTGATAGTGGAATAAGCAGCGATCAAAGTGTATTGCCTAATATCAATCTTCAGGAGTAAGAATTTTGAACTGCAATCAAACACCAACATTTCTTCTCTAGTTTCCTTCCATCATCTTCAAGGGCGCTAGCCCCAGAAAACTCCTGTGAACAATCTAAAATATACCCTTCTGATTCTTCGTGTGATAATATAATCTAGTGTGAACCCATGCACTTGTATTCATGCTTTAGCTCACTTTATGTTTTACAACAAATGTGATCAAATTATGTCTGCTTTTCTGTATCTTGCTTTTTAAAATTCTCAACAATATCGTATGGAAATTTCATATAGTTCTGAGTTGCATTTTAGGGTGGATTTATACATTTTTAACTCCTTTATTGATGAGAATTAACTTTGCTTCCAGGTTTTGGCCACTAAAAACTATGCTGCAGTAAATACCATGAATATCTTTTTAAGTCATAGCACTTTTATTTCTATGATGTAAACCTTAAAACTGGGCATTCTGGGGGAAAAGCGTTAAATATGTTGTTTGTTTGCTTTAGACTTTATACAATTTTTATCTACATTTAGAAACGACCACAAATTTATGAGGAAATTACAGGTACAGAAAAAGAACTTTCCTTTTCCCCAAAGCTCTTGAGAGTTAGCTGCCAAATTGATGCCTTTCATTGTAAAATTTTAAGTATCATTACTTTTGTGTATACTTCGTACCCCCCAAATCCTCTACTTAGTTACAACACAATTATCAAAATTAACCACTCAATACTGATGCAGTACTGTCATCTCTAACTCTCTTTGAGCTTTGCCAATTGTCAAAATAATGTGTTTTTTGAATAAAACATCCAGCTTAGATTCATTTTCTGCATTTAGTCATTATGCCTCTTTGATCCCTTTCCATCTAGAGAAAGTTCCTTAACTTTCCTTGAAATGCATAATATGACACTTTCAACTACTGCAAGTTGGCTATTCTGTAAAATATTCTTCAATTTAAATTTATCTGATTATTTCTCATGATACTATTCAAGTTATGCCTTCTTGGCAGGACTAGTAGAGGAGTGGTGTGGTGAAGCTCTGTTCTTCTCTCTGCATCCTCTCAGAGAGTACATGGTTTTATATGTTCTATTCTTGATAATATTCATTTTGTCCACATGATTAATGGGATGCTTGCCAGACCTTACTGTAAAGTGACCCTTTTTTGTTTGTGATCAGTTAATACTTTGTGGGGAATGACCAGGATGGACTTAACACTCCCCTGAGCTTGACTAAACTTTACACCAACAAGTTCCAGATTTAATGAAATTCCTATCAAAATACACGAGATTTTTCACAAAACTAGGACAAATAATTCTAAAATTTATATGGAATCATGAAACACCCTGAATTGTCAAGGCGATCATGAGAAAAGAGAACAAAGCTGGAGGTATCACAAACCCCAACTTCAGATCAGCCTACAGAGTGACAGTAATCAAAGCAGTATGGTACTGGCACAAAAACGGACATGGAGATGAACGGAACAGAGTAGAGGGCGCAGAAATAAACCCATGCACGTATGGGCAATTAATCTACAACAAAAGAGGTAAGGATATGCAATGGAGAAAAGACAGTCTCTTCAATAAGTGGTGCTGGAAAAACTGGACAGCTATATGCATATGAATTAAATTAGAACATTTTCTCATGCTATATACAAAAATAAACTCAAAATGGATTAAACACCTAAATTTAAGGATGGAAACCGTACAACTCCTAGAAGAAAACATGGCTGCCATAAATTGTAGCAATAATTTTTTGGTCCTGTCTCCTAAAGCAAAGGAAACAAAAGCAAAAATAAACGAAGGAACCTAATTAAACTTGAAAGCTTTTGCACAGCAAAGGAAACTACAGACAAAATAAAAAGAGAAAATATTTGCAAATGATATGACTGATAAAGATTTAATATCGAAAATGTATAAACAGTTCATACAACTCAATTAAAATAAAAAGAAGCAATCCAATGAAAAAATGGACAGAAGACCAGAATAGACATTTTTCCAAAGAAGCAAACAGATGGCTTCCAGACACATGAAAAGATGCTCAACATCACTAATCATTAAAGAACTGCAAATCAAATCCACAGGGAGTCATCACGTCACACTTGTTAGAATGGCTGTCATCAAAAAGTATACAGTGTCAGAAAGGATATAGAGAAAAAGAAACCCTACTACACTGTTGGTGGGAATATAAATTGGTGCAGTCACATGGAAATCCACCCCTGATACCTATACAAAGAAAATGAAAATACTAATTGGAAAAAAGCCACCCACCCCAAAGTTCATCATAGCATTATTCACAACAGACAAGATACAGAAGCAAACTGTGTCCATCAACAAATGAATGGATAAAGATGTATATATACATACACACAATGGAATCTTACCCAGCCTAAGAAAGGATGAAATTTTGCCATTTGCAACAACGTGGATGGACCTGGAGCATGTTATGTTTAGTGAAATAAGTCAGACAGAAACACACAAATACCGTATGTTATCCCTTACATGTGGAATCTAAACAATAAAACAAATGAACGTCTATAACGAAACAGAAGCAGACTCACGAATATAGAAAACAAACAAGTGGCTACCAGCAGAAAGAGGGAAGGAGGAGGGGTAAGATAGAGGTAGAGAATTAAGAGGTACAAACTACTATGTATAAATAAGCTACAAGGGTATATATATAGCCGATATTTTATAATAACTTGCAATGGGGTATAATCTATAAATATTTTGAATCATACGTTGCACACCTAAAACTAATACAATATTGTAAATCAGCTATGCACCTCAATAAAAGAGCAAAGGAAAATAAAAAAGCAATGTTACAGGCTGCTTGATAGGACATTACTGTAGCAAGCTCACCGGCTACAGCAGTAACGACCTGGGTGGGTGGGGTGATACAGTGAGAGATGCTTTTGTGCAGTTTTGTGGAGTGATAGATAAAACTAGATATGACTGAGAAGAGAGGATGAGAAAATGCATTTTCCTTAATTTGCAGATGGACCCTGAAACAAGAAACAGACATTCCTGGTCAGGCTTGTATATGAGAAAAATAAAACGCAGAAATGAAGATAAACTGACGTTGATAATACAATGTACTAGTTTGCTAGTGCTGCCGTAACAAAGTACCACAAACTGAATGATTTAGAACAACAGAGGTTTATTGTCTCACAGTTTTGAAGACTGGAAGCCCAAGATCAATGCGTCTGTTGGGTCATGCTTTGGCAGACGGTTCTAGGGGAGAAGCCTTTCTTGTCCTTTCTTGTCTCTTCTAGCACCTGGCAAAGGCTGGCGGCAATCCTCAGCATTCCTTGGCGCATAGACACATCACTTCAGTCACACAGCTATCCTTTCCTCATTTTGTCTTCATAGTGTTCCCTTTGTTAGTGTCTGTCACTGAATCCAAATTTCTTCTCATAGCAACACTAGTCATAAAGAGATTAAGGCTCATCCAAATGATTTTATCTTAACTATTATGTTTAGCGCGGTGGTTTATATTTCCAAGTAAGGTCACAGTCTGAAGCCCTGGGGATAAGGATTTCAACATATCCTTCCAGGCTCATAATTTAATCCAGAAGACAGAAGAAAGGAAACTTTATTACACCTATGTATGACTGAAAGTTTACAAAAATCACTTCCATCACGTGGAATAGACTGTATACTTTTTCATATCATACATGCGCAAGTATTAAAACTAAATAAAATTATAATTGACCCTTAACTGCAAAGACCCTGTGTAATTACTGACTGCTGGGTATTGGTTTTGTAAAATTGTATTTTAAAGATATGAAGATATTACTCTAGACTTTCTACTGTATTATTTTATTTAATTTCACATTCAGAGGTACAATTTTGAAATTAATTGTTATGAATGTTAAAATACAGAAATCAGAATGTGTATGTATGTATATATATATTTGACAGATCCTGGGCAAACATTTTTTGCAGGGTCTTTGTTTAAACAAACACTTTGATTAAAGTGCATTGCAGAATTCATGAACCCATGAGAAGTGCTATTATTTATCAATAACAATTCAGAATAATGGAAAGAGGGGAGTGATTCTATATTTGCTTATTGTCCAGTGAGGGTACATACAGGTTGTAGCCCACACACCCTTTCTTCCTTCAGAGGCAGAGACCATCTCTGCCTTCTTTATTGCCAAATGTGTCTTTCCTAATTCCATTTCTCACACCATGAGAAAATTAGAAATCTGTGTTTTAACTGAAGCAACATGAATCTTCTTGAGTTTGCAGCTCCTCAGCACCATTATTTGATGCTAGCTACATCAGTACAACATGATATACAAGCATATTCTTTTCCAGCAACTCTCTCAAAAGTTGCTAGTGTTCTTCACCAAAGATCACAGATGCAAATGTAATAAAAAAAAATACACGGAAAAATGTGAATCATACTTAATTGTCTAGACACGTTAAATTTACCATTCACAATTTTATCTATTTATTTATTTTTAACATTTTTTATTGATTTATAATGATTTTACAATGTTGTGTCAAATTCCAGTGTAGAGCACAATTTTTCAGTTATACACGAACATATATATATATTCATTGTCACATTTTTCTCTCTGTGAGCTACCATAAGATCTTGTATATATTTCCCTGTGCTATACAGTATAATCTTGTTTATCTATTCTGCAATTTTTAAATTCCAGTCTATCCCTTCCCACGCCCCACCCTCTTGGCAACCAAAAGTTTGTATTCTATGTCTATGAGTCTATTTCTGTTTTGTATTTATTCTTTGTTGTTTGTTTGTTTGTTTATTTGTTTGTTTGTTCAGATTCCAGTCAGCCATAAAAACCGACAACATAATGCCATTTGCAGCAACACGGATGCTCCTGGAGAAAGCCAGAAACAGAAAGAAAAATACCATATGAGATCGCTCTTATCATTCACAATTTTATGGCGTAACTGGAAAGCAACACATCTTCCGACCTTGTCTTCACCGAATTATTTAAAACATAATCCCTGCTTTCCTTGGGAAACTTTTACAAGGGTGGTAAAGGCTCTAAATGTCTAAGTAACTGGACAGTAGAAATGGGTGATCACACTCATGATTTTAAAAGTAAGAACATTAAAAAACAAATATCAGAATTAATCTATCTAGATTAAGTATGATATCAAATCATGACCAAGTTGAATTTTATCTAGGAATGCAAAGTAGTTCTTTAACAATAGAAAGTTATGTCATTTGCTACATTAAAAGATTAAGGAAGACGAACTAGGTGCTGGAAGAAAAGCATATTTAATAAAATGGACAATCTCCTCCTACAAAAAAAATTCTCTTAGAAAATAGTAGAAAAGAAATGCCTTAACTTTAAAAAGAAAGGATATAAAAAACTAGACACAACACTACTAATGTTGAGATATTAGAAGCATTTTCTTTAAAATGTGGAACGAGTCTAGAATATTTACCATGAATATTGTCCTGGCAGTCCTATCCATTTTAATTAGACTAGAAATAAGTAGTTGTTATATAAGGCAGGAAAAAAATAAAAATGACTATTACTAAATGCTGTGTTTTATAATATTTAAATGAAGCCATAAATCATTCAAAATTAAGAATTTTCAAAATGTATGTTGAACAGGACAAGAATGCCCAAAACAGTTGCATTTCTATATAGAAATATAATAAAATTACATTGTTGCAACAGCCAAAACATTAGACATGTATAGCAGGGACACATATGATAAATAATATGTAGTAATTGTTTAGAAAACCTGTAAATTAGAAGACAAAAATCAATGCAAGACATACAAATAAATAAGAAAATAATATATAAATACAACAGTACCCAAACTGACCTATAGAGACTGTGAAATTACCAGATTCTTCTAAAATTGATATAGAAAAGAAAAGATCCAGGCCATTTGAAAAGTAAAAAAATAATAAGGAAATTGCTTTAAGAATCATCGAGATATATTATCAGGCTATAATAGTAAAGCAAAGAAATGTTGAAAATTATTCAAAGAGAAAGGAAGAAAGGATGCAGATATTTAAAACCATCTTACTCATAGTTTTCAATCCATTCTTATTCAGCCTATTTTCTTCTGGCAAATCCATTTCCTCTCTGTGTAACATCTGGCTGTTGCAAGACCATTTTCATTAAGGTAAGTACATATTTCATTTCTTGTCGCAAGATCCCTACAATAAAAAGTTAAACATTATGTACTAGGGAGTCCTGTGATTTCTCCCTTTGTCAATGCCATATTTTAAAAAAATATTATCTGCCCAGAGTTCTGAAAAAATACGCTGTGACACAGTCTTCTCTTGCTAGGGTTAATGTCTGTACCAAACTGAGTCTCCCTTCCAAGAATTTATATTTGTTAAACTGACATAAAGTTACATGTAACGAGTGGAGCCACCAGTATTATAAACCAGTGGTTCTTAACCCCGGGGTGATCTTGCCTTCCACCCACCCCTGCGAGGGACACTTGGAAATACCTGGAGGCATTTTTGGCTGTCACGAGTGGAGCGCGGCAGGGGTAATTGCTATTATCCAGTGGGTAGAGGCCCAGAGATGCTGTTCACATCCTATGATGCACAAGAAAGTGCTCCCTCAACACAGCAAAGAATTATTCAGTCCAGAATGTCAGCTGTGCTGTTACTGAGAAATTCTAATATAAACTAAGTGGCTAAGTGGCTGGCAGTCACCATTTGGGATGGTTATACTGGGGTCATGTGTGCCGTGAACTCAGTTCTTCAGATCCAATTTTCCATACTGTAAAATGGAAGGTTTGAAGTCCAGGATAAACTGTACGATCAGTGCAAATAAAAGCAGGTTAAAATAAACAAATGTAATCTGAATTGTAAGAGATGTCAGCAAATAGGTAGCATAAAGCTTGCAGAATAGATATAAAATTGGAGAAAATAGGTTAAAATCAAGCAAAAGCTTAATTTTTTTTTAAACTGGGTATATGAATCTCAGGTATTTATTTTCAAAATAACCAACTAAGAGGTCTTTCCCCTTATGTCTTGTTTTCCAGCCTCTCTGGCTGACTCTTGGAACGGATCTCAATCCATGTTACATCTTCCCTCGTTCATTTTTCCTACATGCACGCTGATCGTGGCCGCTAGAGAAATGGAGCTGAAGGACAGGTTGTGGAGGCGGTTACATTACATAAGTTTAAATAGTCCCAGAAAGAAAGAAACTCACCAATTCTTAAATACAGTTCCATCAATCGACTGTCCTGTTTGAATTTCCGTCTTAACTTGCCCAATCCAGTGATCCCAACTGCACTTGAAGCGCATAAGAAACTCCTTTAGAGACAAAATAAATTTCATAATTTTACTGGTCAGTTTTCACTACAACTTATCATGTCCCTCTCGCTTTGCAGGTTGTGAAGAGTAAGGTGACAGAGGTTCATTTCCTGGCTTTACCACAAAATAGGTCTGCGACCTTGAAAAAGCATTTTACCCTCTGAGCCTCAGTTTTCTCATACGTGAAAAAAAGGCCATGAGATCGCTTTTCTTGATACTTTTGATTCTAAATTGGTAAATATTCAAGTTGAAAATCTATTCCTCCAGGATTTTTAAACTGTAAACTCCTGGAAAGCTAGAATTTTCAGCTGAGTCCTTGCACAGTCTTCCTAATCATAAGATATTTTGAATAATGTTTTTTCACTTCCCAGGAAATACTAGTATATTGAGTTTAATGTAATATTTTACTTTAATTTCTCCCAAACTCTCACAGGCACGTGCGCGCGTGCACACACACACACACACACACTTGGGCACATGCTCACACACATGCACACATGATTTATCCAGTTCCTTTAGAATCTAATTCTCAAAAATTCATTTTTTTTTTTTTTGGCTAAACTTTTAGATTTCTGAAGATACCATTCAGGGAAAAATTTATTTTTTTCCTGATATTTCTCTTTTTCTCCTTACTCATTCAATATTGAAACTTTTTGCTACCTTAGACCCCTCCTTTTTTTCACCATAAAATTATATTATACACAGAAAGTTATTCAGTCTGTTCTGCCACTAAATAGCTGGGAAACCATAAGCTTGACCTTGTATCATTCCATGTTTCAATTTTATGATAAATATAAAGGAATTACGACAGATCACAACACTATGGTCCATTCCTAACTGATAATAATAACCCTGGTAAACTTTGGCATTTTAATATATCATCTTCTATAGCATTTCATGAAGTTATTTTAAAAAATTCAATTCACTGGGAGTAAACTGTGGGTTTACAAAGGAACAGGTTAATAAAGCAGTGTCCCTGGCTTCACAGGGTTTCAATTATAGTGAGGAAATTTATGTAAACGTAGAGTTAGAAAGTATTCTACTAGATGAGAAGATTGTGAGTGAAATAAACGCAAAGGGAAATTTTAGTTTACAGGAAGAATCATCTGAGTTTTTCTGGGAGACTTTCCCATAGCACGTGCTCTCAGAGATGGATCTGGAAGGGAAGAGCAGAAGATTCCATGATAAACACAGACATCCAGGGAGAAAAGGAAAATTCATCCTCTAGTTGTAGCAGGGAGCTTGTTTTAAGGCAGAAAAAAAAATGTAAGAAAGGATAAATGCTTTGGAAACCAATAGGATATATGTTACCAGATAATTGGGAAAACTGGATGAGGTTCAGTAGTTGTGATCTTGGTGACAAGAAAATGGGAGGTGTATTTCCTAGAGCATGTCCTGTGAGAAATATTGCTTATTATTTGCTCAGTAAAGGATAGACCATGTCGCTGTTTCTTCAAAAAGGCAACATAATTCCGAATCGTTGCAAATAAAATGGGAAAAATTTCATGAAACAAGTGGCATCTCATTGTAACTGAAATTAGTATTTTGCAATTTAAGTAAACATATATAATACTTTATTAAACTATTTAAAATAAAGTGTCCTTTAAAATTCCTCTGTACATCACTTTTAACCCTCTGTCAACAGATATCGTATGAGGTAAAGACCTCATTCTGTTTGTCACTCATTATTTTTTCATCTCACTGCAAATTTAGCTGTTTTTCTCCCCAAAAGGAAGTGTAAAAGTTTAAGGATTTCTCAGAACGTTCATTTCAAGACTCTAGTAAAATTCAACAGTGAAATTATTGACAACAGAAGCTATTTCTATTAAATTAAGCCTACATTTTACTTATATGCTGTGTCTGCTCTCTACCTAGTTTTTCACATTTTATTCAGATTTCCATGTCTTTTGTTGCTTCTGTAAAGTTTCTTTGCAGTGATCTATAAATTGCCACAACCTAGTTCATATCTATTTTAAGTCTGAACCAACTCTCAGGTAGATTACATAAATGTACTTTGTTCACCATAAAAGTAATACACAATTCTCTTTTAACAGTGTTGACTGCTATGTTGTGCTGCTTTACGCTTAAACACATCTTAATTGCACATTATTCACATACAAATATTTTAACTAAGCTAATTATGTCTTACATTGACCTTTGACTTTTAAAGAGACTAAACGAAAGTAAAACATAAGTTTGCCACGTAAGTCACCCAGGGAAAGAACAGATTTCACAAGCGCAGTGGTACAGAGTCTCACAGTCCCGTATGAAAGTTCTTGGGGATGCTCCTGACTTATAAAATTTCTCTATGTAAATCAATATTTATTCAGCGAAGATCCATTAAGCTCTTATTTTGTGCCTGCCTTTATGCTACAGCAATGGACACAATTTCAAATAAAATACGGTGTCTGCACTCTGGAAACTCGTACTTCAGCCTCGGGGGAAACTTGCAGGGACACATCTGTTGCCTTGCTGGTAGTGGGACGGGGAGGCTGCCGCGGGACCCCCGAGACAGCAAAGCAAGACTGCGAAGTCAGAGGAAGTTTCCTCAAAGGGTGTGAAATGGAGAATTTCATTCTTCCTGAGGCAATTTTCTCTTTGTGATTTTAAAAAGTTTCAAAATATTATCAAGCTCTTCTCTTTATATCCCTTAAAACACAAAAGTTAGCTCTCAGGTCCACTACTTGATGTAAGTCTCATATTATCCAAACAAAACATCACTGGGCTTTTCGATTGTATCTCCCGTGGCATATTCTGAACATCTTCAACATTCTGCCTATATAGACAGGCATGTCTGGAAAGTTTTTAAAATCATAATGACATTTGAATATTTCCGGTGTCTCTACTCAATATAATTCATAAGGAATGCATTTTAAATTACTTACCATCTTTTCTGCAGTGTCGATCTCAGCTAGGTCAGCATGTTGAGAGGTACAGTTGTATCTACTAGAATTCCAATCTTTCTCTTCTTTAGAAAAATAGTAGCATTTATCTTTGGAACCAATCCAATTATCCGGGCAATAGTGCCTAGCACCTTGAGCTATTTTAACTGGAAATAAGACAAATACATATTTTAAGGACCAGGTGAAGTAATGCATCATTGTGTTTTGAGATCATTGAAGAAAGACAAGATTGTGATGTACAAGATTATGATCATGGTCAGAATTATATAACTATGTCACATAACAAGCTAAAAAACAAACTCCTGCTAAGTTAAATGACAGCAGTGCAGAATTTGACAGGGAACCCGCATCCCTTTCAACTTCAAACTCAGTGATACATAGGCCGTCTTAGAGCAAACTGTGATTTCTCTCGTGTGAAGTCACTTACCGATTCTGGGTAAATGAAATACAATGAAATCCTAGCGTTATCTGACTGTAATAAAAAGACTGATTTATATTAGACTGCTATAAATCTGGGATATGTGTTTTAGTCTCTAAGAAAGCAATGAAAATAATAAAACAATATATAACTAATAAGACACATATTAGATTTCCTGTTGCTGGTGAGGACGTGGAGCAACAGGAATATTCATTCGTAGATGGTGAGGATGCAAAATTGTACAGGCACTTTGGAATACAGTCCTGTGGTTTCTTACAAAACTAAACACACTCTTATCATATAATCCAGCAATTGCACTCCTCAGTATTTACCCAAAAGAGTTGAAACCTTATGTCCACACTAAAACCTGCACGTGGATGTTAACAGTCTTATTCTCAATTGCTGAAACTTGGAAGCAACCAAGATGCCCTTCAATGAGGGTAATTGTATAAATAAACTGTGGTATATCCAGACTGTAGAATATTATTCAGGGCAAAAAAGAAATAAAAAGACACAGAGGATCCTTAAATGCATATTACTAAGTGAAAAAAGCTAATCTGTAAAAGCCACATACTGTAAGATTCCAACTATATGACGCTCTGGAAAAGACAAAGTTATAGAGACAATAAAAAGATCTGTGATTGTCAGGGGACGGGATAGGGGGCAGATAATTAGGTAAAGCAGAGAGGATTTTTAAGACAATGAAGATACTCTGTATGATACCATAAGGATGGGTACAGGTTTATAAATTTTTCCAGACTCAGTGTAAGTACAACACCAGGAGTAACTGTAAAATCTGGACTTTCAATAAATTATTCCAGATTAAAAGACTAGCTGAATTAAATATATGTATATATATACACATCTGTATAAATCTTGATTTCTATATTTTAACATTCATTAACAATCAATTTCAAAATTGTACCTCTGAATGTGAAGTTAAATAAAATATTATAGTAGAAACTCTAGAGCAATATCTTCATATCTTTAGAATACAGTAAATTTCTTAAACAGGATGCAAAATGTCGTAACAATAGAGAGAAAAGAAAAAAGAAAAACATACAATTTTAAAATTACGAAACTCTGTTCATTGAAAGACATCATACAGAAGTCTAAGCTTCACAATGGAAGGAGATATTTAAGACAGATACACAGAAGGTTTTCTTCTAGCATACACAAGAACTCTTACGAATCAAACAACAACAACAAAAAAGAGAGCTAGCTTAATAAAAATGTGGGGAAAGTATTTGAACGTGTCCATCACAAAACGTTATGGTTAAATGAGCTATAAATATGAAAAGGAGCTTAACAATATTACTGGTCATCAAGAAAATGTCAAAGTCACAATATGGTACCAACACACTCACTCAGTCATCAGAATGTCTAAAATGGGTAAAACTAACAAAGTGCTGACATGTATGCTGAGCAGCTGACCTTTGCAGACATTTTTGGTTGGATTATCTACTATCTATGGTATTGTCTACAGAAACTGACTCTGCATTCTCTATGCCTCAATAATCCTTCTCATAAATATAACCCAAATGATATCCACTATTCACTAAAAGACTAAAAATATAAGGATGTTCAAGGCAGCACATTTAGCAGTAGTCAAAATGTGGCACAATCCAAATGTCCATCAAGAGTAGAATCATTAACAATTTAATACACAGCATGGAATACTCCACAGGAAGCATCTGCAAACGACAACCTGAAGCCAAATTCGGAGGTAAAAATGTTCTTACATGTTAAAATAATCAAAATAATAAAAAATAATTTAAAAATAATCAAAAGAGGAATAATATGTTGTCACATGAGAAAATTATGTAATGTTCAAATTTTCATGTTCAAGTCTATTGAAACATAGCCATGCTCAATTGATTATGTGTATTCTGTGGCTTTTTTTTTTTTCTCTACAAATACAGAGCTGACTAATTGCAACAGAGATCATTTGGTTAGCAAAGCCTAAATTATTTACTATCTGGCCCTTCACGTAAAAAATTTTCCATCCTTCTCTTACAGTGACTCAATGAACTTTTGCTGTATGTTACAACATAGACGAATCACTCAAGCATAATGTGGAATAAAAGAAGAAAGAGGCAAAGGATATATAAAAACTGCATGATTTTATTCACATGAAAAAATTTAAGTGGACAAAACTAACCTTTGGCAATAGAAGTCAAGATGGTGGTTATCACTGGTATGGAGATAGTGTATGGAAGGTGAGATCATCAGGGTGAATAATTTCATCATAATCATTTTTACATCTCTCCATGCCTTATGTAGGTCATGTAATTAATTCGTAATCATTCATCCATGGATACACATTAAATGTATCATGGATAATGGGAAGGGAGTGAGAATATTGAGAAAAGGTTTATGACTGAAACAGAAAGAAAAAGGATCATACGATAGCCCTGAAAAAGGAACATGTAAGTGAAGAAATAAAGGATGTAATGTACTCACCTTGAAGAACAATTAAAACAATATTAGCAACTAAAAGTATTGCTAATATAAAAGCACAGGCACTGTACTTCTTGCATGTGTCCTTGATATCTGAAAAAAAATAGATTAAGAAACAGGTAAAAGAAAGACTAAATTTGCATTCATAACCATATCTAACAAACCTTTTTAGGCAATTTTTTTCTGATAGTTCACAAGCAGATGATAGAAAACATACTTCATTGTCATATGGAAAAGAAACCTGGTTTTTCCTTTTGGCTGAAATTTCTCAGAACATCGTTATAGCCAATCCAGATGTTATTACGGATTTTACTACCATAGTCCAAGCAATCAAATCTATATGACTCTTTCGAGTAGAATTTTCTCGGGCCTGGGGTCACCTTCCAGGCCTCCAGTCTCCCTCCCCTGTGGTGGAATATCAGTACATTCTAACCTCCCTTGAATATTTCTAAGAAAATCTACTCTATAATTAATAAAAAGTTTACTTTAAAGGATAGACAGCATGGTATATCGGAAAGGTCACAGAATAAACAATTAAAAGATTTAGGATTGAGATTTTTGCCACAAATGAGCAAAGGGAACTTGGACAAGCCACCTTTTTTTTTTTTTTTTTACTGGTTCTGTATTCTTTCATCTGCAAATTCAATAAAACAGAATAAATGATGAGGAATTGTTTTTCTTTTATTAGTGTCCATTTAGGAAAAAATATAGTACCTAAGTTTTTTGAAATGAAACATTTTTATTATTTCATATGATTATAAGGTATTTATCCTTATTGTAAAATTTTGTGAAATGTAAAAAATTATAGAAGCTATTTTAAGACAGACTATAAATATATTGAGAACATTTATTCTTTCTGTCTTTTTCACCTAGTAAAGAACTAGTTGGTCTTTTTGCTGAACAATTTTTTTTTCCTTAGTGGATGTATAAAAAAAATTAACTTAAAATAAATCTAAATTTACACTATTTGGAGACATTAACACCCTTCCATCCATATATCTCTTTAATCCATTTTTACACATATAACCTCCCTGCCAAATACACATAATTTTGAATGAATACAATCATCATGTGCCCATTGTTGTATATTATAATGTTTTCAGCTAACAATTTGTTGTTCTCATCTGTGGCAAATTGTTAAAAATGGCCCCCAAAGAATCATGCCTCTCTGTGTCCACCCCACCTTTGACATAGGATCCTGCTACTCCTCCCACCAAGAGGTCTACTGTGTTTCCCAACACTTGAGTATGAACTGGTCTTGTGCCTAGCTTTGACCAATAGAATGTGGTGGAAATGACACTCTGGGACTTTAAAATCCAGACGTTAAGAGACTGAGCATTAAATAACACTTTTTTTTAATTAAAGGATATATATGTGCTACATTTTCAGATCTGGTTTATAACAGAAATTGAATAAGAGAAAGCTTTAAATGCCATATGATATCTCTCATATGTGGAATCTAAAAAAAAAGAAAAGAAAAAAGGAGGACACTGATGACCTCATCTACAAAGCAGAAGCAGACTCACAGAC